AATTAAAGCATTATTGTCTTAAGATCTCTTTTGCATCGTACGGCAGGTGTTTCTTGGAGACCTTCTGTGCGAAGAGACGTCTCGAGAAAACTCTCTAGTATCTTCTAGGGTTAGTCTTGTTTTATAGCCGTAGCGTCACGTAGTAGCAAGGCTTACCGTGAACGAGGTTCTTCACCTGGACTCACCTCTTAGGATCGGGCGGCTCGGAGAGTTGCCAGTCCTGGTTTCAAAGCAGACCGCTTCAAACGGGCAGTGCCCGCGTTAAACCCGCTGTTGAGTGAAGGCTCGCTTCAGAACGGGGTAGTAGCTCTGCTAATTTTTGTGGCAGAAAAACCCCTTACTACCTTCTAGTGCCACCAAGCGGACATCTTTACTTGCCAATAAAAGCTTTCTTAAAATTATTTTTATTTCAACAGTTATGTTCAAATTTTATGGATGCCGAGCGCCACTTCTTCACGTGCTGAAGTATTTCCTTCCAAATCAAATACTTCAAGCGTAACGGCATGTGTTGTTTCAATTGCTTACCCAATGGCTTGCTGAAGAGTGCCGTTCGACAGCAGGAGAACCTGACATTCCTCGTTATCCACGAGGATGATGCGCGCTTCCGTGCATGCTTTTCTGCCTTTGCTAACAACTTGACCCGGGGAAAATCACCGTGTGAAGTAGCGGTTGAAAACCCGGTGGTCTGCATACTCCTCCGATTCTTTTTCCTCCATCAAAGCCATACGATGGACTATATAGGAGGTTACGGGGGGAGAGCAGGATGGGCACGCTTGGTAACAGGATCAACGTAGAGTACTGCTTCTGATTTGAAATGGAGTTTTCCACGTTTGCGGCATTAGACCGCTCACCAGATCTTATGCGCGCTAGAGCCTGACCTCAGAATTTGGAAACCACTGTTTTGGAGCAAGGTCAAAAGAGGAGTCTAGATCATGTAATCTGTTTAGATAAGGATTACTGTTTCCTGAACTAACCTAGCATTAAAAAGGAATGTCAAGAACTCAAACTCATAAATCAGTCTGTAGCTGTAAATACACATACCAGAGTTCTGCCGTGTACCGTTAGTCGGGCGTTTTGACTGAGCGGTCACGCCTCATTCTTACAGGTAAAAATCCACCGTGGTGTTCTGACTTGTTTAAACTACTGGAGCTCTGTTCTGCCAGATCTGACATCTGATACCCGTATCCTTGGGACAGAAATTGTTCTTTTTTTTTTATTTTGTTTTCCCTCCACCTCCTCTTTGCAGTCTTCCATGACCGTAAGCCAGTGAACATGGGAAGCCAAGACGTTATTAGGCCAGTTACACTATGTAAATTTGCTGCTTCGTCCAGCAGGTTTCTTTTCAGTAGTTTAGAGCACCGTTTAAGGCAACCTCAGAGGAGGATTCCTGCCCCCTCACTTGTCCTCCCTTGATGTAATTCAAGCACGTGTCGACACGTGAAGTGCAGGTACTGTTGCCAGCAAGACATAACCTGGGCATGAGTGGAGTGTCTGCAGAGGCGCTTCCTGGTCAGGCAGTACACGTCAGACTGCAAGAAAGAAATAGCCTCTCTTTCCTCTCCTTTTTTTTTTAGGTATCTTTAATATTTTCCAAGTGCTGGTAGGAGTACTAATTTATTTACTGTTTTCCAGATCGCTTTCAACAACAAAATAATAATCTTGACTATTTTAAGAAACCTAATTGGAATGAGAACCGAAATTCCATTCAGAATGGTAAATATTTCAAGGCAAACACCTATGAAACCAGTTCAAATATCCTTGAAAATAAGTCTGAATATCAAAATATCGCTCAAGACGTGCAGCTAAACTAGATCATCTTAAAACAAGGATTCTCATGGCAAACTCCATTCCCCACCTGTATTTCAGGTTTCATTGCAGAGAAACTGTGTCCTCGTTTCTGTATGAATGTTCCAAGTTTATTTCATTTTACATTCTTCCTGAGAGAAGTGCGAACACCATCATGGAGACCGTGGATTTTGAGGAAGCAGCAATTTTCTCTGCCCAGAGCTCCCTTACTTCAGGCAGCAGGAAAGAACAACTCGTTCAATCTCCTTGGACTATCTGAGGCAGAATTAAAAGAACAGTTTGTAAGAGGTGACGGCCCAGGAGGTCAAGCCACAAATAAGACAAACAACTGTGTTGTCTTGAAGCATATTCCATCGGGGATTGTAGTAAAGGTAATTATATTTTTTATTTCATTAAGTCACAAATTGCATCATGTCTTCCAAGTCTCCTTTCGTAGTAAAGCATAATCACAGTGCAAATGTCATGGAGGAAAAGTTTGTATGTGTTGTAAAGAACCTCAGCAAGAAGCAGTTTTGGCGATCGGTAGATAAATAAACTTGGGGTCATAGCTGATCTTGCTGGCTTCGACAAGCAGCACTGTTTTGTAGTTTTCAATAAAATGTATCTATCTTCACTGTAGCTGCCTTTCAGTGGCAGCTGTCATGTTCTTATCCCTCTTATGAGTTAGTTAGAATGTCTTCCTTAACAAGCTGATCATGCTCACTTTGCGTTCTTTTTAAGCATTACTCTTACCTACTTCTTGTGGATTAAGACTTTGAAATTTATCTTTGCTTCCTTATCACAAGGGGAAGACAGTTAAGTTAAACTGAGAAGAAGCTTTCCAAGGTAATATGGAAGCAATCTTATTCGCTGACAGAATTAAAGATTCATGCAAAAGCCAGTCTGATGAGTTACAGTAGCAAATAACTGTTAGGCAGCCTCTCCAAAATATATCACCTGGATACAAAAGTTCCAGCAGTTCTTGGCAGGGGGATGCTCTCGGCTTGGGGGAGAGGGGAGTTACTTTACTGTAATGGCGGGAATATGCAGACTGAAAGGGAAAGCAGAAGAATAAACAGGTTAAAGTTCCAGTAAAAATGTCCTATTGTATTTCTTCAGTGTCATCAAACAAGATCAGTGGAGCAGAACCGAAAGATAGCCAGAGAAATCCTGCAGGAAAAAGTTGACCTCTTCTACAAAGGTGAAGATAGCGATGTTTTTAAAGAGAAGAAAGCATCAGAGAAGAAGAAGCAAGAGAAAAAAAGAAGAGCAAAGGAAAACCTAGAAAGGAAGAAGCATTTTAAAGAGATGCAACAATTGCATAAGAAATAAACATTGTAATACTGACTTGTCCTAGCAGGGTAAGGGAAACATTTGTCATTATACCTAAACAATTTTCAAACTAACAGATGATGTAGAGCTTCATAAGCACAACTGAAATACTGAGTAGTGACCTGCTATTACTGTAAAACTGAAGTGATAAAAGCAGTCATGTATTCCTACTTCTGTCTCCCATTAATCACATTTAGCAATCAGTTCTTCTGCCAAGTTCAGAAGATGATAAACCAATCCTTGTTAAAAAGCAACTATAAACTTTCCACCATTGTTAACAGAGATAAAAAATTATTCAGTAGATCTCCTTCTCCCCGGACAATACTTTATGATGTTTTGTAGGAGTTCCAATACATACGGAGAACAGCCCTAAAAGGTTTTAACTTTCCATCCTTACTCAGGCAACGCCTCTACTGACATAAATCCTTTATAAACAGTGACCAGGTTTGGATGCTGGTTCTGATGGTGCAAACAGACATGCTGACAGAAGAGACACCCATCACTGGTTGCCTCCTTCAGATCTGTTAGCTTCAACAAATGCTCTGTCCTATTTAATTCTGAATGAAGTTTAAACAGAAGCTTTACAAATCTTGTCTGGAGTGGTGATGAGCATTGGGGCGGGGAGGCACTCCTGCGAGTGAGGGCTGGTCAGTCATGTTCTTCCAGTTCAAAGGTAAAATCGGGTCATTACAGATGAGGTGTATTGGAAGCTGCCTCCCAAGGCAACAGAATCCAGTTCATCCAAGCTGTGGAGTAATTAACTTTGCCTCTTACTACTGTGTTTGCTTCAAGTATCCACAGCTCCATGTGTATTAGATATCCCAGATATCCCATCTTCCTTAGGGTTTAGATTTGATTGTACAATAGTGAATTACAGTCATTTATTACGTTTACGCTGTGCTGCAGTTAAGCTTGGGCATTTCGGTGTCTTCACTCATTTTGACAGCTTCCCATTTTATGCAAGTACAGGGAGCTGCTTTTCCTTTGTTACTGTTACTTTGGAGCCACTAGTGCAGTATACTTTCCTATTTTGATCCTTTTAAGAACTCTTAATTGCTTAACCAAAACTTCTCTTTAATTTTTGGACAGCACCCTCACCGGCTGCCACCAAGTTTTTCACCCTCAGCAGAGAAGGGAGAGTGCTGCAAGAACCGAAGCCATAGCTTGTATTTTGAAAGCAATGGAGACTACTAGCAACCTCTTACTACCACCTTCTTAGAGATCGACCGCATCCAGACCGTACCACGGATAGAAACTCTCCAGCAATCTGCAGGCCCGTTCCCTGTCTGTTCCTGAACTTGAGCCTCCTGCATGAAGGTTAAACCTTTATCTGTTGAGAGTTCTTGTTCATGGAGTATGAATCTGATTAAAGTGACCGTACATAGTTTTAATACAAACTGTTAATGAAAATAAGCTTTATTACGTCAAGTAATAAATACATACAAAGATGCAAATAACAGTTTTAGTAATTTATCCAGAATTTTCTTTTTTTTTGGCAAACTTTAAACTGAAATCTCCAGCCTTAATGTAGAAATTAGCTTTCCAGGACCTTGTTATTATTTAATAGGTTTCCCTATTTTCCATATAACTCATGCACTTTAAATGGACTTCAAAGCACTAACAGTCATGCAAATGTTTATGCAAAACGAACAAAAAAGGAAAAATAAGAGAAGGGGAAGGTTATTTCTAAGCAGGGTCTATGCTGTATGACAAATTGTGACTTAGCAGACTACTAGGTACAGCATGCTATTCTGCATTTATTAAAAAAAAATCCTTAGAGCTTATGTCAAACTTTGAAAGATTGACAGTTTGGGGTTAAGTGAATATAGTCAAAGGAAAAAAACAGAATTAAGACTGTGGCTGGATAAGAAGAGAACTGAAATATAGCCTGGGAGAGAAAGAGCATTCCTCTGCATGCAGTTCAGTTTTCATGTTTTAGAAACATTTTAGGGAGTTTTAACGTCTTTACAAAATGCAAACCCTCAGTAAGTTGAAAAATCCTTGTTTTCTCATTCTTAACTATACATTTTTGTAAGGGCAAAACAAGGTAAAACATTCAAAATAAAGGAATTTGTCTGAATGTTTCAAGAGTCAAAAGGAATAAGTGTTACTTTTTCTTCATTAAGAGATGGAAAATCTTGCAACTGAATTAGCGGGCTAGGATCTTGCATTTCGTTCCGTCTCAGCCAAGCATTCCCGAACTAATCCTCTAGCATGAATAATGCCTGCAAAAGAATTGGACATATTTTAAATCATCTCATTCAGGTCACACTTGCAATGACAGTCCAGACAAAGGTTTACGTATTTCTGTCCCGAGTTGCCAAGGCTACCACAGCATGCCTCAGAAAAGGGAGCAATCCCTCGCTTCCCAAACATCAGCTGCTGCTAAACAAGTCTGCCTTCCCAAACCGGCATTATAAATTGAAAAGGGACTAAACCAGGAACGGGAGCATGATAAGATTTGTAGGTCTGCAGTGACAGGTATATCTTAATGTGCAATGCGGGCCTATTTAAAATCAGAGACTGAACGGAAAGGAAAAAAAAATCATCTTACCTACCTGTGAGTTATTTTGCTACAATGGAGTGACAAAAAATAGGAAGTTATTTGGGGAGTCATTTTAACAAGCACTAAAAGTCTTAATACCTTGGCATAGTTCGCCTCTGAGAGGATGCATCAAAATGCAAGCCTTCATAATGCTGCTTAAACACAAGTCGTGTCTCTTGTAAGCGTAAGAAGACATTTTTAATGGTGTGTGCAAGAAGTTACCTCCTAACACTGGCTCAGCTCCCAGTGTAAATCATCACCACTTTACATGCTGCCGTATCTACGCTCATCTGATAGACATAATGTGGAATTTTCCACTACAAGTCCTGTTGCCTTGAGTTCCAGCAATCTGGACCTTGATTCTTAATCCTGGAACTAAATCTAGATTCATGTTCACAGAGCTGCTGAAAGAACAGAGCTTGAGATAGATTTTAAAATGAGAGACGGACAGATTTTTCTACAACAAACGAGGTTATATTTTACTGACAGGACAAGACAGAAGGCGGAGAAAGGACAGTAAGGCAATAGATGAGGTTTAATCTCTATTTAGAGATAATGGATTCTGTTTCTAGAAGGCTGCTAGCCCAGATCACAGCAATAGCCTTTACATCCAAGGAGTCCCAAGACTTGGGACTTGACGGGTGCGAGGTTTTGCAGAGGGTTAAATTGACACAGACAAGTAAAGCTGCATCCCACAGCTGTGGGATGCAGAAACGCGTACTCAAAGCAGTGCATTAGACCTGGATCTGGTGGCAGGACGCCCAGTTTATGCAGCAGAACTACCCTGAATTATGTAGAAGACTGGGAATTTGGCCAATTTTAGAGGTCAGTAGCCTCTGTGCTCAGGAGCAGGTGGAGCTGGGGACAGGGACTTTATTCAGGAATAACCTCCACAAGGCCACAGAGGCTGCAGTCACGTGGTTACCCTCAATCACTTTTGCTCTCACAGTTGCACATGCTCCTTCAGCCATCAGACTCCCAAAATGGAAAGAGAGGTATGTTTGTGACCAAAAGATGGCAGCAAAAAGTATTTATTTGGGATTCTTTGCAACACTGGCAAGTCACAGTGGCAGCACTGAATCTTAAACCTATGTTAGCCAACAAACTAAATACTCACTGCAAGAAACAGCAAAACAGCTTTTCCTCACCGAACTGAACCATTCAGTTCAGAGAACGTCTGCATCTCTCCCAGTCTCTCTCAAGTTGTCCCCATTAGCCTATTGCCATTCATGATCTATTAATACTGACTCAGGCAATGCAATAAAGAGAGACTCCAGCAACATTGATTTTAGCTGGGCCAGATTCCACTTACCACTCATCAGCAGACTTTATTGCATCCTTTCCCAGAACAGCTACTAGTCATTTTATTGCACGTCATGGCAGATATATTACTCTCCCATAATGGTTGAGCCTTAAATAAAGCTTTGTAGTCTTGGGTAAATGTAAGGGGGATTTGCAAGGTGGTGAAGTTAGTCTGTTACAATAACATTCCCATTCAGGGTTGAACACATGAGCCAAACTCAGCACAAGGACCAAGGAAGGGGAAGAAAAGGTAACTATATTATACTGGCAAAGGACAGAACTGCCAGCACAACTGTTGTGGATGGCCTTTCAGGGTCATTTCAGGAGCTGGAGCACTGGAATGTCCCATTGCTCCTTCAGAAACATCCCTCCCACGTCCCCTGCAGAGGACAATGTCAAGCTGATGTCAGCAGTGGGGCATGCGGGCGTTTCTTTTACACTGCAAGGAAAGGGCATTTATTACCCCTTTTAGCTGACAAAGCAAAGCTAGAGACCTCATCAGCCAGGCCTAAAAGCTCCTGTGTCCCTTACTAGTGGACCCTTAACGACATCCACTTGACAACAGGTAATGGAGCCTAAGCAGCCCAACATTCCACAGAGAGGAGGAACGCGGGTACGTTTGACATCTCAGTCTCAACAGCCTTCACTGACAACCTTTTTTTTTTTTTTTTGCAGCTCTTCTCTCCACCAGCCTCAGTGTGAATTACCACAATGTAGTATTTCTTTAGGCAAAATGCACTTTAGTAAAGACTCTTGGGTCAAGTAGATGGGTGATGTATATGAGAAAAAGTAAACAATGCTTGGTTGTATATTTTGGAGACTGGGGAGAAAAGGGAATTGAAGGGGCAAGTAAGTCACTAGGAACCTAGAAGCACATATCCGTTAGACACCTTAAGGGTTATAAAATAAGGTTTGAATTATTAACTGAAACTCCCCTTGTGCACACGAAACCCATTTGGTCACTGGTTTATCTATCAAATACAGCATGAATAGAGCATCCCAAGGTTTCAGTTGCTTGTTAATACACCTAGTTTAATGATGAGCTCAAGACAGCTGTCTCCTTTCAAAGGAAACAGTTGTCATGAAGCCATATACAAGTAGTCAGTGCACAAAGTGTATGTGACACAATTATTTTTTTTTAATAAATTTAAACATTACCTCTTTTTAGCCTCTCCATCGCACTTTTACTCCCAGCATACGTGGGTCTAATCTCTTTTCCTAATTCTTCTATGATAGCTAGAAGTTCTGCATATTTGCTTTGCGGTACTTGACTGCTGCTGGTACCCTGTAGTTGAAAGGAGATTAATCTCAATTAAATACTGCTAAAACCAAAACAAACCAAACCAATTACAACAAACAGCAACTGGAAATTCATGGAGGACCAGAAACAGCCCTGGAAGCCACTTTTTGAAAAAATAAAATTTCAGGTTTATTATATAAACATGATTTTCTTTTTGCGGTTGCTGCTACAGTTGGACACAATGCTACGTGCCCTTCAAAAATTGGGATCAACTGGGAGGATGCTGCTGCAAGACTGGGACCTTAGGTGGGACCGAAATTAAAACAGTCCTGTAAGAACAGCAAACGGAGAACTGCTTATTTAGCTCTCTTTCTGCTTTTTCAATGTTTAGGTGTATATTTTGTGGAGAAGTTAGCTAGGCAGGGAGAGTGAGAAACAGATATAAACAAAACTGCCCATATGATAAGGGAAATCCTATGAAGTCAAATACATGTCACAGAAAGTTTACTGCCAGATTCCTGAAGCAGCCCATAGGACTGTGTGTGACACACACTTCATAAAACTAAATTTTAGAGTATAAATTTGCCAAAGAAAAACAGTATAGAAATATTCATTTTTTAACAAATAATTTTAAAATATGTTAGAGCTCTTACTATCAGAACATAACTCAAGACATGTTTCACTGTGACTCAGAAGGGATGGGACTAACAGTTAATTAGTAACCAACCTCACTCAGCACTCTGCTTAGTCTAATTTGATCCCAAGACATGTGCGATGAATCAGTCTGCCATTTGGGTTTGATTTCAAATCTTGGTGGGAGAGAGGAACACCTCAGATTACAGGCCACGATCCATGCTACTATGCAAACGTAGGGTCAGTGATCTGATTAAAAAAGAACAACAAGCAGAGCTGTACCTGCATCCCTTGTGTATAGCCTAGAGATGGGGGTCCGTAGTCATTTATGAGCTGTCGGTATTGCGCAGATGTTGCCATACTTGTGGAGGGAGAGTGAACACTCCCAGCTGTAAGAGGAAAGAAAAAAAAATCTGTTATTATCTAAAGACTAATTAGTCCGTTACACTGGGACACATTTTAGATCACTTTTTTCTAAAGCTGTGACCTCTCACCTTTGTCTAAGCCCACTAATGCCATTTCAGAGTCACACTATTTGCTAGGAAGAGAACGGTTAAATTAATGCTTCTCTAACGTTTGCTGTGCATTTGAAAATAGCACAGCCTGCAACATTATCAGTGCAAATTGTTTGCCTAAAAGTGAAACAGAGTGTAGCATGACAGGTTGTTCTGCCTAGACAAACTGTAAATATTAAGGAGCCCTATTTTTGCATATATACATTCCATATAGATGAGTCTAATGTACTGTGCTATTTTTACTTTTTCAGTGCAAGTTATCTGAAAGTAATTTTGCAACTCAAAGTGTCATCACATGGTCAATGCAAGTTACCCTCAGTACTATTTTCAGCCAATGCCAAAACTATTCATAGGGAACAGTCAGTTGAGGTATATCAGATCTGCTGCTCATTGTACGACATCGGAGGCAAAGAGTGCTACCATTATTCCTCTTTGTGTGATATCAAATGTTTTTAGCCAGTTGTATTGTGCTATATAAGTAAACCAAAGGAAAAATAACATCACTTCGGGTTATGCTTACTTTTTCAAAAGTTATAAAAGATTATATTCAGATCTACAGGGTTTTGAGTCAGCTAAGAGTTACAGAAACAGACTCTAATGTGATCACTGCCAAACTGCTCCAGAAATGAACAATCAAAACACTTGTTCCCCCTTGCCCCGCAACGGTAAGAATTCAGGTTTGAGAAACAGCTTTTAGATTTTTCTTAGGGGGCTTAATTATGCTCCCCATTTCACAACAGTGTTAGAGGACCTGCTGGTTATGGACTGTACACTCAGGACTAAGGGAGCATTACACCATTCAACTTGCTCACTCTTGCAGCTGAAGTGGCCCTGCATCCACTGATGCTGCTGTCTTTGCCTGTAGGCACAGACACAGACTGCCTGCTGTCTGAGAAAATCTTCCCCCTTACAAACTCCTTTGCTGAAAATTCCCAACGGTCTTTCACATGAGGAACAGATCTCATTTACCAGCCTTCATTTAAATCTAAATTAGACTGATGCTAAAAGTCACCAGGGCTCAGAACTATGTAAATCTCTAGCTTTGTTTTAAAGTTGCAAGTGATTTCATTCATACTTTCCCCTCACTACAAAAAGAAAGAGCCAGCAGTTACACTGTAAAAAGCACTGCTGAACATAGTGGAACAGACTCTTGTCCTCAGTTGGGAAGTCTCTTTTCACCTCAGAATTAATCACAGGATATCACTGTGGTGGTGTCTTCATTACAAGAAGAGAGTGTGTTCTGAATTTTAACTAGTTAACCAGATGTGAAAGCCTAAAAAAGGCAAACTGGGCTGGTCACTAGGTCACCTTAAAAAAAGCAAGGTTTCTCTTTAACTAAGCTGCTAAAATTTTATGGCATTACAATCTGCATTTCTGTTGCTAAGGTTTCACATGGAGCTAATTGTCACATTTTGCTAAAGCACAGTAAAAAACAAAAAAAAAACCCTAAACAACACATCCATAGGGTGTACAGCACTGTGAAGGAACACCACAGTTGTCAGCTATTCTCTCAATTAGTTCTTCACATTATCAGCTCAAAATACATGCACAATTGTAAGATTTCTGTATGTACAACTCAGTCAATATTTCAAGTCCAGATGACTGAATTTCAACAGTTATCAAACATGACACAACAGCAAACCGCATCTTTCCTCCAAGGACTTCAAAATGCTTCAAAAACATTAATGAGCCCCTTGTGCTGCAAGGTAAGAAGGTTTAATTACCTCAATTAAGTAGAGAAAGACTTAAGCGATTTTTCCTCATGTACAATAAAACAAAAGACCCATCCTGCAAAGACTTGTTCCTGAACTGTTATTGCAAGCAATCACATACAAGACCTGGGAGCTCCAAACTGGTTCAGAATTAAGGAAAGGACTCCGATGACCAGGCTCAGGAATCCTGCTCTACCCACCGAACAAACCTTAGCTGCAGCCCATGCAAAACAAAAAACAATTTATCTATCGCCACCATATTGGTTAATGATAATATAGTACAGATAACTCAGTGATTGTTCCAGATTACATTGATTTAAGCAATGACACGTGCTTAGTCTGTACAAAATAACACAGCAGGGTACGTCTAGATAAGAAAGAAAACCCTCTGAGAAACGTGATGTGCCAAGAAAAAGCAGTGAACCTAGGGGCTGTCCAAAAAGTTTCACAGATGTGAAATCCAGCAACATACGGCGCTGCAGCGGACAGTAGTTGGTCTCAGCGTGGGAGCTCGAATCCAGCAGTGACTCAGTCAACACTGAATGACAAAAACAAACAAGAACTTTCAGTAGGCAACTCTGAGTAAGAACCTGCCACCGGAGTTGGAGCATGGCTCCTGATGTGAATTAGCAGTCAGATCAGTAGAGTGGCGTCGCTTCGGCAGCCAGGGGTGCTGTATTGTCTACTGTACCCACGACATATGCAGAGCTGTGCTGCAGACACTAGAGGCCATTGCTGAGTACGGCATGCCCTGCCAAATGACAGATCGTGGTAACCATGGTGAGTTTACCCGTTTCTTTGCAGTCTGCATCAAAAATGTAATAAGACATAATGCCATGCGCCGACCACTTTATCAGCAGCAGCAGGCCCAGAGAACAAAGAAAAGGATTTGACTTGGCCATGGTACCAGCTTCCATACACCCATGTCAGAAGTTGTGCCAGTCAAACTCAGCCAGAGGGGGGAAAAAATGAAAAATCCTTGATTTCACCTCAATTTAAGATGATGCGATCATGAAAATGAAATTAATTGTGGGGGTATTAGTATCTCACAGGGTAACAGACCTTGAGCTTTTTGACCTATCACTTTGTATGTTAATTTCAAGGAGAAGCCCTGGGTCTTGGATGACTATTACTCAATTAACCCAAAATACATCTGCATGTCTGAACATCCTGTGTATCTCAGATTTAAAAATAAATAAATAAATCACTAGCTATCGCTATTATAGTTAGCAAGAAAAACTAGGCCAGGAATTCTCACAGTCAATACCTAGTCAAAAATCAGTGTGATGACTAGGTATTCACCAGAGAGAAAAAAAGGAGGGGGAATCTAAATTGAGGCTTGCTCTCTCACGTTAAAATGACAATGGAGTCAAGACAGTTAAGAATTGACAGAATCGAAAAGGGAGTGTGCTTGGTACTGAATTTAAGTGACACCCTGTATCACATCCCAAATTGTCTTAGTGCTTTCTGCTGTTTAAAACCTAAATTAATATACACACTTCCCCCCTCCACTTTCCTAATTAAATGTACACAAAACCTTTTATACACCCATTTATTCTTGTGCCAACAACGTCTTTTATTTCTGTATTCAAACAGAAGACTGCCAGAAGCATTCTTCCCCACAAAAATATAGTGATTTTCTTGTTAATCAATATTAATCTTTATTAATGGGGGGGGGAATGTCTAACAATACAGCAAACAGAAATGAGATTTTTGTGTCAAAATCTTTTCCTTCCAGCAGTCTCTCTGAGCCCAAATTAACACCCTGGGAGACAAAGGATCTAGAATCAATCTTTGTTTGCCTAAACTCCCACTGACCAGGACTCTTCCCATTAATTTCTGATAGGTTTGTAGGGATCCCTTCAGCTCCTTTGCTACTGTCTCCAAGCCTGAGCAATGATACCAATTTGCTGATCTAAGTTTTAATTCTTAATTCTACTGCTGCTGCTTGCTGGAAAAATAACTGGGAAGGCAGCTTATTGTGCACCCTGCAAGGAAGCAGTGCGAGCAGGAACACTGGGGTACACTCACCTGATTCACTCCCAGCAGATGCCATGGCATCTACACAGCTCAACCGCCACCCTGTTTTACTCTCACAAACAGCAAAGTAAAATCAGGAATACTTACTGAACTCACCGAGTTACTCATGTAGAACTGACTTAGAGAAGACAAGAGCCAAGCCCATTGGATATGTGTTTCTCTACTACCCTGTACTTTGTAAGGTCCTATAAAACTGCATAGGCAAACTCCTGCCATTTTACAAACTCTTTCTACACATGAACATGACAGCATATAAGAAGAGATCTGTAGCCTGGAGTTTATCCAAGGTACACGGTATAGTCTGTAGAATCTCACTGCTTCTACCTCTATTTCACAGTCTCTTCAAGCTGAGGCTGCTTGCAACGTAAAGGCTGTTGCCATTTAGGTGGCTAGCGGTCATCACCTCTTTATACAGAGCCCAGTGCTGGAGGTTACTGCCTCTGCCACACAACTGGAGGACATTCCTCATCTGCTTCAGACAATGGCAGTTTGATTCTCGATGGTATGCGGTACAAGACAACCAGGATGGAATATTTTAACTGAGAGGATATAAATTCTTCTGTCCTAAACCGGACAACTTTGCAAGAAAACACATGAGAAACGTTCATGTAAGCTGCTCTGCCAATGTACATTGTGAGGCATCTTCAAGCACAAGGGGAGCGGTAACATCTTCAACCAGCACAGCCATTTCTGCAGCGAGTATCTGAACACGGCCTGAATTACAGTTGCAGCGTTTTGGCTGACTACAAGAATACTTGATTCCTTAGCCCTCTATGCACTTTGGTTTAAGTTCAACAAGAACTCCTTGGCATCCATGGGACACCACATGCATGTCTACACAAGTAGATCTACTGCATAGCCAAGCCACACACTGAACTCTACAGGAGTTGCCAACCCAGAGTGAAAACAGACAGCCCCCATTTCCCCCAGACTTCCAATAATTTTTTTAATTTAAAATAATGGACCCTGTTCTCATTTGCACAAAACATTCCTTATAGCACTGGCTGTGGAAGTTGTATTTTCACCCACTATTTCCCCCTTAAACAGCCCTTGTGGTAGAAACAGACCTTTCTTTGAATAAAACTATCTCTCTTTTAAAAAATCCAGTGTGCACACACACAAATATGTTCTCAAGAACTAGGACATTCTTTATCGTAACAGCCAGAGGCCTTGCTCTTTTGATCTGTCACACTCTGGGCCCTTCCTCCAGTACGCTCGTTCTATTTAATCTTACCATGTGGATAATGGTCATGTTTTATGTCTCCTCTTCCTACCCCCCCCTTTTTTTTTTTATCAGAAAAACAAAACACAGTCACTTGGACTCCCCACCATTCTTCTTTTCTAGCTTAAGACACAGGATATTTCTACACTAGCAAGTTATTTGGCACAACAGGAAAGGATCAAAAGATGAAAGCATTTGGTACGTGTACACCACATGTAGTTGGGGTGAGTGGGTACGACTTTAGATTTTAGTCTGGTCCCCCAGACTATGTGTCTGTATCGTGGGTATGGTTCAAAGCTGTCCAATCTTTGGTTTGCACCCCTGTGTTCCCATTAAGGGATGGAGCATCAGTGTTGCACAACTGGAGCAGAGCTTCTGGATTACTTTTATCCAAAAGGAATCAAGTTAGCATGAACCAAAACCACTCTGCAACTCAACCAACATGTGATGGGTGGGGATGATGAGGAGATTTGCTGATTGTGAAAACCATACCATTGCTCTGAAGCTAAATAAATACTCAGGTAGACAAAGCCAAAAATGCCAGTTTTCTAAATGTCCAAAAAAGTCCACTTGAAAATTGCTAATTCTGAAACATGTTTAGCGTGCTTCTTTTCAGATCATATTTAACTTCACATGGACTTCAAGAGATCAGGGAACCAGCAAATTTCAGTTTGAATCGGAGGGGGGAGTGTATTTCCTATAAATTATCCCCTCTGCTAAGGCATGAACACTTTGCTCTCTGCTCTGCCTACAAAAAGTAGTCTTTCCAGTACTCCCACTCCAAAAACAACCTCTCAATATGGACAACAATATCAAACATCAGCTGTCTCCGTAAAGGACGACAAGCAAGCCATTTGCTCATGCAAGTCTGCACTGCAGTCTTAGTAATATAAGGAATGGCCTAGTGTGTCTGGTATCATTTCTCAGGACTGAATGAAATCAGTCTCTCCAGTTGCAAGCTACAGCCCCAGTTAGGGGTATTACTTTCATTTCACCTCTCAGTGAGAATTTGCACTTTTCGCCAAGAAACTTCTGGTTGCTGTGAGGTGCGCCAGGTGCACCGACAGCCCTGTTGGTCCTCAGCTACAGCAGTACCTGTTGGACAGGTCACCACTTGTTCATGTGGAGCCAAGACGCAGCTCCTTCCCTTGTCACAGTCTGCTGGAATTTGTTTTTCCAGATCCTACATACAACAGTTTTTAAGCTTTATTACAGGAACAGGGTTTTGTCTTGAAACCTGACATTTCTGCAAGAATTAGAATAAAACCACAGGAAAATCCCAAGCTGTTTCTGCTGGCTTCTGTATCTTAAACTACTTTTCTCTGACCTGTGCATACTCTGAACAAAATAGGAATGCTGGTGAATATCCACAGAGCCAGAAAACACATGGTAACAAGGGGAAAGACAAACTACAGACCAGTTCACAGCTGGTGTAAATCTCTGGTTCCACTGAAGTCAATGGAGATGGCTCTACTTCACCTCAGCTCAGCACCTGGCCCTCTTACAGAGAAGTAGAGTTAAACAATACGAAACACAAGACAGACGAGGAGGAAACTACTTTGCAGGATTCAGTATGATAAGCAAGAGAATACAAACAAATCAAAACACGGCTGTTAAAAAGGGTAACAGAGGTTCCCCTGGGACACTGCAGGGTCAGGTGAGGCTGGGAAGGTAGAACCACAGCACCGCAGGTCCCTAACAGAGCGCCTTTTTACCGCCCAGACAGAGAAGGTGCTTGTGCAGGAGATTAAATAGGGTTCCCCAAGCACAGTTTGGAACTGACACCCTGGGGTGCTACACACAGGGGCCCAATTCCCAGAGCATGGGCCCTCCAGGAAGGTGACTGGTAATTTGGACAAAACACTGCAAGCCTGGTTGCAGACACCCTGGGCCAAGTGTCACCACGGACCTGGGCAATGGGGAAGAGCAATAGGCACCAAATTCCGCTGTAACAACACATCCTTCTTCCCTCAGCCTGGTGTAAGGCAGAGGAGTCAGCACCCAGATGCTTCCAGCATCCTGAGTCACTTGTGGAACAGCTGCATTTTCCTCACCCGCAGTCATCCCCTGATCTGCCGACAACCCACGGAGGCTTCCTCCCTGTATTTCCTCCCCCCCCAAACAGCTCCTCTCCCTCAGGACTTCAGTCCAGTTTTTGAGTCCCCAACATGCTCCCGTGCAAGAACAGAGCACAGTCACCCACCAACCACAACTGCTCCATCTCACTGATCCACTCACTGAGCGCAGTTTAAACATGATTTTGCAGAGTGGCAACTCTCAGCCTAAACTTGAAAGGAGTTAGCTCTGCAGCAAGGACGCAGCTCCAGGAGCTGAGTCGACACTGCCTTTCCAAATACTCCTGCACCAGAAGCCCTGCACTGCAGGGAAGCAGCATTACCTCCCAGAGGAAAATCCCTGTGAGATCCACAGCTGGCCAGAGCCCTCCGTCGGCCGAGACCAAAATATTCAGCATTCATACAGAGAGGCTTCTGCAGGGCTGATTTCAGGCCAAAAGGGACAGATTTCCTGTTTTCCTCTCCTCTGCAGGACGGGGCGGGGGGAGTCCTTCACCCCAGGTTTGGAAGCAAAACTAGGATTTCTACTGCTGGCTGAGGGGCATTTAATTTAAGCACAATAGAGAAGCAATCTCCTTCAACTCAGAATTAAGCTCCAGAAAGGAGGGGGACATTTGCAGTCATATCACTCTGAATGCGATATGTGCAACTGCAAGGACTGCTTTGTCTAACTCCCTTGGCCTTAGGCCACGGTGCTGGCAATACCACTAGCTAGAGGAAGAGCTGGTGCGTGAGGATAATGGCAGAAGACAGGGAGGGAAGAGAGAGCCCATTTTGGATTCAGAGGAGGACGTTCTTTCATTGAAAAGATTCTGGGGGTGTTGAGGATGATCCGAACTCAGAAGAGAGGACAACTTAGACAGGAATAGTTCCAGCATGACAGCAAACTGCTGCTAACTTGCCATTATGAGGAAAAAAGGAGCGGGGAGGAGGGAAGGGAAAGATAAAACTGCATCAAAGAATCTAAAACCCTGATCGCAGCCAGAGCGTTAGAAAGCACACAGACACGGCAGCAAGAGGACTGGAGACAGAAACTTCACCACTCAGCTCACATTGTGAGCGGCATGTCTGACCCGGGATTTTGCAGTCCTCACTCGCACAGCAGCCAGACTCGGATCCCCCCCATAGCATGACCTAATCCCCACCCCTCACCCACCATCGCAAAATACCACCTTTGTTTTCCCTGCAATTTTACGGCTGTTCCGGAGAGCAAGGCACAGGTTCTCATGGGAGCCGACAGCAGAACGGTTTCCCTTGCTAGGCTTTGTTTTGTTTCTTTTTTCCTCCGGTGACACTTCTGCTTTTTGTCAAAAAATCCTTAGCCCAGCCCCTGCTTCCTGACCCCTTTGCAGAGCAGCGCTCGGGCCCACGGTGCTCCCCACACACGACCCAGGCACACCGAGCCTTTACACGCTCGCAGCCCCACCGAGCTCAGCTCCACACAGGATCAAAGTGACTGAGGCACAGGGACCCCGGTTCATCCACCAGCTGGTGACGATTCCTTGCAGTAAAATAAGATTGCTGCTCTCCTGGTAGCTAGAATAGAGGTGCATCTTGTTGATCCCTTTCGTTCATCAATCTCCCAGGACTACAACCACAAACGGCGCTGTAAAAATCGCCGAGGCAGATTTCCCTCCCTCCTAAACCCAACTGCAAAACTTTCCCTTCTCAAAAAAAAAAAAAAAAAAAAATCAGCCTGATTTCTGGCTGCGGATGGTCTGATGCCAGCCCTGCAGGCTGGGGCTGCAGGGAAGGGAGACGGGAATATTATTTTTTTAAGTCAGAACCAACTTCTCCATTTTGGTTCTGTTTAATACTAGCCGACGCGCACAGATTAGCAAGATCCCCTCCAAATATCCCACAGCGAAGCAATTGCTGCTGCGGCTTTGTTCAGACTGCACCGATTTGCACACTCTCCCCGCGACAGAGACCCACTTTCACAGCAAACACCTCAGTACAAGAAAAAACACTCGCCTGCTGTTACCTTCGGAAATCGGGGTGGAAAAAAAAAAGGGGGGAATGTAATTAAAAAAAAAAGTTAATGCCATCAAGGAAACTTTTTAAGACAGGAAAGTTGGAAAGACTCCTGTACAGATCCAAGCAAGAGGAATAATTTTTAAAAGGGCTTTTGTGAGAAATAAAGAGCAACTGCTGCCTCCCCCTTCCAAAAAATCTCCAGCGAGCAGAGGGTGCTCGTCCGCCCGGGCTGCTCCGCGAAGCCGGGAGACTCTGAGGGGGGGAGCGGGGACCGAGGCCCCCCTGAAGCGCTGGCGGCCCTCCCGGCGGCGGAGGGTGGGGGGCCGGGGTCCC